TCATCACAAAAAGATGCTTGAAGCAGGTGGAAAAGGCCTTTTTTCTTCCAGTGACAGAAGGAAGTTTCATGATAATGATGCAGAGGTAGGATGAGAAGGTCAACAGAAATGGAGGCAGTGAGCACACACTTGCCACAACAGAAGTGACAAGTCCAACCACATGAGTTTCGCTACAGGAAAATTTTATCATTGTGAATGATTCACAGAAAAAATATTCAATTTCATTAGGCCCACAGAAATCTAAACTTGAGATCAGGAATGTTAGTATAGAATTAGATGGAAAGCCACTTACCTTACCCAAGATGCAGCACCCAGCTGGAGACAGAGCTTGCTGTTCATATGGGATGGATAGTGAAGCGGCTTGCACCCTGCTACATACCTATTGTAGGACATCACTGCAAGGAGATAGGAATCTACACCTACCAAACAACCAAAAAAATAGTATTGTGTAAAGCATTGGTTGGCTGAAATACTTTTGTCTCCACACAGATAGCTAAGCAACTTCCTCAGCAAGATATTTGAGCTGTAGCAGATTTCCAAGCAGGCCAAATTGCCCAAGAAGTACATTGGGCTGTGAAGGTGTCGATTAGCCACCATCAGCACAATGATGAAGATGTTTTCAGTAATAGTCACAATGTAGATTGACAGAAACATCAGGAAGAGACGAGAATCCAGTTTAGGCCATTCCCAAATCCCAGGAGCATGAACTCAACAACAACCATTTTGTTTTTCCACTCTTGCTTTGTCGTAACTTTTATTTTAGTGATAAAACCAGGAAATGTTGGCACCAATGAAGACCTTGACAGTTTAGACTCAAGTAATGAAAGTTTCTTCACAGAATAAAAAAGTGAAGGATACAGAAGTCTTTGCATTATTGGACTTGTCAGCTGATTTCTATAAAGATTTCTTACATACTAAGAGTCACATTACTCATTACTCCATGTACGGAGAAGAGCACTTAAAACTGAAGTAATGTCCATTCTTCTCTGGCACAGGGGAACTTTATAGCATGTTTCCAGTCTGTGTAAGCAAATGAAATATCAACTTCTTTCTTAAATGCCATCACAAGTTTTGCCGTATTTATTTCTGTTATGAAAAAAGCCGTATTTGCTCTGATTGCACCAGTACCAATATTTCCATTGCTAATATGTACTGATGCGTATTATATATTCACCATATATATCACTATAAGTATGCAGCATGACCTTTAACACTTACATATTTCTTATTTGAAGGAGGCAGAAAATAATCCATCTTCCATCAATGAAAATAAGTATGAAGATCTATACCATCTTCAGTATACATTTGCCCTGCCAAAAAAACCCCAAACACACAAAGCACCCTCCGGTTGTCTCACCCTTTAGTCTTCTCATGGTTAGAATGAAGGATTCCAGATGTAAGGAATTTAATTCAGTGGCCAAAACTCAATACAATAACATTGTTAAGGCTACTACTAAAGGAGCTGAACAGAAAATCTACTCCTTTTTTATTCTGTATAGATTCTTCTTGTCAGCTCTGTTTTAATCAAATGTGCATGTAGTTGGGAGAGATATTTGCAATGTATTAATGGGGTGTATTTTTCAATCCCATGCACTTGGCAGCACAAATTCCAGCCATGACACTTCAGAGATTGGGAGGGACAAGCTTCAGCCCTGGGGTTCCCTAAATGCATCATCTATTACAAAAAGAACTTTGGTGGGTTTTTTTTCAGCCCGTTATCTTCGCAGATCTAGCATTCCAATTTAGCAGCATCTATTTGAACCATCTTCACAAGGATTAATGTGATCTAACTTCAAACATCTGCATCTAAGGCATTCACCACAGACTGCTCCTATAAAGAGAAGTAAGTGCTTTGGATTATAATCCATCCAATATGTTTGACAGTCTACTTTGTATGAGATAAAAAATATAAGGAAATTATCTATTTCTTTTCTTTCAATTGACAATAACAGGATTTTAAGTATTAGTTCAGAGGTCAGTTTCTGCAGACTGCACCTCTATTTTGATGCTGCTTACGACATTGAGGCAATACAGGGAGGTGACCAGACACTATAGCAGTGAAGGCCACATAGGAATATGCATCACTGTGTTCAGTTCTGGTGTCCTCAACATATGAAGGACGTGGAGCTGTTGGAGCAAGTCCAGAGGAGGCCATGAGGATGATCAGGGGCTGGAGCACCTCCCATATGGAGACAGGCTGAGAAAGTTAGGGCTGTTCAGCCTGGAGAAGAGAAGGTGCGTGGAGACCTGAGAGCAGCCTTCCAATATCTGAAGGGGGCCTATAAGGGTACTGGAGAGGGACTCTTCATCAGTGACTGTAGCAATAGGACAAGGAGTGATGGGTTTAAACTGAAACAGGGGAAGTTCAGGTTAGATGTAAGGCAGAAGTTCTTCTCTCTGAGGGTGGTGAGGTGCTGTAACAGGTTGCCCAAAGAACCAATGAACGCTTTATCCCTAGTAGTATTTAAAGCCAAGCTGCACAGAGCCTTGGGTGACATGATCTAGTGTGAGGTGTCCCTGCCCATGGCAGAGGAGTTGGAACTGGATGATCTTAGGGTCCTTTCCACCGCAAACCATTCTATGATTCTGTTATTCTATGATTCTATAGGATTAATTCACACACTATTAAATTTGTACTTAGCCTCATGTAGCTTTTTAAAACACCTGGAAAGTGAAGAGAGAACGGGCAATGTGAGTCTTGCAGTATAAGGATTGTCACCTGAAAAGGCTATGGAAATTCTCAGAAGTGTCAGTCTCTCTCCACTAAGAGGGCTACACTGAGTATGTAGTTGATTTTACATTTCCAGATTTCTGGTTAAAATAGTGTTCAAATGTTCAAAATTGGGTCAGATGGCCCCATATTCTAAGTGTCAAAGGAGATTTCGGTCTTCTTTTTTGAAACCTGGAATGTTTACAACACTTGCTCAATAAATAAAATACTTGAGTCCTAGCTGCCATGTAACTCAAAGATTCATTACCTGCAGCTCCCTTAATACCACATTGTACCCTAGTGCCTATGATTCATCATAGGTTCTTTTTCATGTCTGTCTTTGGGAGTTCTGCCATGAGGTGGAAAGTAATGTTCATGAGTGCTGAGTGTTCCTGAGAGCCAGGAACTGTCTCTATCCACAGTGATGTTCTGTGCATGTTGTGTTCAATGTAAAAAGCATTATCTCTGCTGGGGAAAAAGGGTAGGCCACTAGAGGAGATTTTACGTAAGTCAGGTGAATACATTTGAGTACCTCGAAGGCTTATATCTGGTGCTGTTCTGAATTAAGGAAGGGAAAACAAAATTAAGATTTCATGAATTACAATTCTTCAGAAGTATTCATATCATACCAGTATAATCCCAACTCTGAATTGCTTTTGGATATTTTTTTAACCAGGTGTCCCACCAGCATTTAGGCCAAGGAACATCTTGCCAATACAGATAGCATCTTCCTGATGGAAGTTTCCAGTGACTGGAAAAGGGGAAACACAACCACCGTTTTTAAAAAATATGAAAAGGAGGGTCCAGAGAACTGCAGGCCAGTCAGTCCCACCTCTGAGCCTAGAGATCATGGAGCGGATCCTCCTGGAAACTGTGATAAGGAACATGGAATATAAGGAGGTGATTGGTGACCACGCACATATTTCCATGTTCCTCCTCTTCTTCCTGGAGCTTTTCTTCATGCCTTCCTGTGAGGGAACTCTGTCAATACTGATACAAGATTTCCCCTCATCATCTGCTTTAGAGCAGAAATCTATCAGTGGAAAGCACCAGCTGTGGTTGGCCCAGCAGAGGTTGTTCTCTGAAATGCTCATCTATGCCCTCAGGCTGTTTATGAGTGCCTGCATCAAAGGCATACTGTAAAGACACCATTCAAATGGGTTGTGATACAGTCCCCTTTAATTTGGTATAACAGATACTCAGCTCATGTCCATTAGGTATCTAGATGCCTTTGGAAAATGGAATATAATTGGAAATAGTATGTGTGTGGGATGGAGAAAGCAAAATATTTTTGTAAATTTCACTGCAGTGTTAACATAAGGTTCTACCCAATTGATAGGTTATTTAAGATTTCCATTAATAAAACCATCAAAGAAGATTTTGTGTTCATACTCAAAAACATATAATGAGTCACAAGGGAATTCTGAGTTCATCTTGGCTCCATCACATGTGGAAGTTTATTAAAGACAACAAAAAAACCCACTTGGGAAGATCAAGCTCTTGGCTTCCATATAAAGAATAAAGATGAATATATGTATTCTTATATATAAAGAATATAAGAATAATGGTGAAAAGAGAAGAAAGCCTGCAGAATCCATGCTGGTTTCCACAGTGCGATGTGGGCAGGTCTAAGAGACCTTGGTCCATAACTGGCTACCACGGATGTAAGCCTGACAAAGGAGAGTGTGAAGAAGAAAGTGAATGAAGAAATTATGAGAAAATAGATTTATGACTTCCTGTGTTTTTCTGTCAGTAGAAATAATTGCCCATGTGCCAAACTAGAAGGCTCATTGATTACTGACATGATTTTATTATGCCAGTTACAGCTTTATCTGAAAGTCCCAATATTTTTTAAGTGACAAGACATTGAACAAACTGAATGAAAAATCCAGGTCTAAAAATCCCTTATCTTGTAAATCCACTGGATCACCCAAGATGCAGAATATAAGAAAACTTCTATGAAGATTGTCTGGTTGCAGAAACTGATCTGATGTGATCATAAGCTAATGCCATAGTTTAGGTGTAGGTAGTTTAGAACAGCTTTCCCTGTGCTCTGCAAAGTAGTTTAAGTATATAAATGTATATACTTAAATATATAAGTAAGTATATACATAAAGTATAATAAAAGTAATTTTATTATAAAATTAATAAAATTTTTATATTTATTAATAATATAAAAATTATTAATAAATATTATTAATAATAAATAATTTATATTTATTTTATAAAAATAAAAGTAAGAATTAGGATATGTCTCTACAAGACAAGGAAACAAGCCAGGGCACTAAGCCAAAAAATGGCATGTAATCATCTATACTTCTTAGAAAAGAAGAAAATTGTCTTGTGCCTGAGGCATAGCAACAGTGATTGAAACTGAGATAAGACAATTTGTATTTTTTTTTTTTTATAGAAAACATTACTGAAATGTTTTAGAAGTTGGAATTTTGAATAAGTTATCGCGTAGAGATTGGATCCAAGAATTAAGGTGAATAACGTATCTTTACAGCCATGCATGGAAAACAGTTTTTTCATTTTTATATTACATTTTAGTATTTGCTTTCCGCAAGATGCAGTGTGAGTCAGCTATGGAAAAGCAAAATGAAACATACATTACAGAATTCATCCTTCTGGGATCTGGTGATTTACCTGACCTTCAGGTTCCTCTCTTCCTGCTCTTCCAGGACATCTACATGGTGATAATGATGGTGAACATTCTCATCCTCATGCTGGCAGTGGATTATCAGCATCTCCACATCCCAGTGTACTTCTTCCTCAGTAACTTGTGCTGCTTGGAAATGTGGTATGCCTCCACCATCCTGCCCAAGCTGCTGGTCAGCTTCCTGACAGTATTATTTCCTACAGCACTTGCATGACAGTTTTAAATGTTTGCATTTCTAGTTGGGGTAGTGTATTACCTCCTGACAGTGATGTCAATGATCAGTTGTCCTGGGTTCAGCAGTAGCAGTCATGTTTTTTCCTTTGTGTTAACTGGTGCAGTGCTGTGTTTTGACTTCTAGTTTGAGAACAGCGTTGGTGAAGCCGATGTTGTCGGTTGTTGCTAAGTGATGTTTACCCTGACCAAGGACTCTGTGAGGCTCATGCTCTGCCAGGGAGGAGGGGAAGCTGTGAGGAAGCAGAGACGGGGCGCCTGACCCGGGCTAGCCGGGGAGGTATTCCATACCACAGCACGTCATGCCCGGGGTGGGGGGTAACTGGGAGTTACCCGGAAGGACACGGGCTTCCGGGTGGAACTCGTTTTCTTGGCCGGTGGTATCGTATTCTCTTCCCTTGTTATTTTCCCTTATCATTGTTTTTAGCTGATAGTAACGGTGGTGATTTGTTGCTGGACTGTTCTTGTCTCAACCCATAGGAGTTGCACTCTCTCGATCCTCCTCCCCGTTCCTCCGGGAGCGGGGAAGGGGAGAGCCCCGGTGCAAGGGGGGGGGGGAGACGGACACGGGCCTTGATTGTTGTCAGCTCGGCACCACTCACTGGGAGTGAGTGAACAAGTTACCTGACTGGGTTTAAACCACGACATCAGTACTTAGCAGTATGCAAACCTTTACATTACATCACCCTAATGAGTCATAAGCTTGGCACAGGACTAGCTGCAGGAGCCTGGGTAAGTGGTTTTATGATCAGCTTTTTTATCATACTGTTGATGTCACAAATGGTGTGCTGTGATCATGGTGAAATGGACCATTTCATCTGTGATTTTGACTCTGTGATAAAATGCTCCTGCAGTGACACATTTCTGATAGTTTTAACACCTTTGGTGTTTGCTACGTGTACTCTGCTGTCCTTTCTTTTCACTATAGCATTCTGTATTTTAATCATCATAGAATCACTGAGTCATCGAAAGGTTTAGGTTGAAAGGGACCTTAAAGAACATCTAGTTCCAACCCAAAATGTAAGACATAATACTTCTTTTCAGCTATAAGAATGTCTGAAGCTCCCTAAACACAGTCATCAAGTAATCATTTGATACCTTAGATCATCCAGGAAAATTCCGTGGGGCTGTCAGCTATGCCTAAAGTCTTGCAGGCGACACATGCTTCTGTATTGGGAGCAGGAGACCAGATGGAGCACCATAAAACAATTCCAGAATTCCTCTGTCATCCCCATGGTAAGCAACCAATGCACAAACTGTTGGAGTTTTTCATTTATTTACATGGCTTTGTTTCAATTGCATCTGAATCCCTCAGCACAAAGCCAACCTACCTTAATATTGAGACCTACCTTAACCTATCTTCAGGCCTGCGACACTTAAAGGTTCTTTAATAGTTAATATGTCTCTATAATTAATATTGAGTGATCCTCTCAGTTTGCCAGGTTTGTGCTAGGATGGTGTGGTAGGAAAGTACCTACCACATGCAGAAGAAAATTACATGTAGGGATGTGAGGATGTGTCTTGCTCAGATACTCTGAAAGTTTACTTGTATTATGTTTGTGGGCTGAAACAGAGAGACAAATTTCATTCTCAAGCAAGCTGCTGCAGATAGATTCTTATTTGCGCTGCAAGGGTAAATGGTGAATATTGAAATTCAGATCCTTGCATCACCTCAGAACCATTTTCTGTATGCAGACCCTGTTCCTCTGAATGTTGCAGGTTTTTGAGATAACTGTGCAAGATCTTGGTCCATCACTTTAGCTGCTCCTGCTATGATCAAGCCCAGTAGGTGTTCAGAGATCTTCAGGACCACTGCTATTCACATCACAGAAGATAAGGGCAAAGTTGATCTCATGTATAAGGCATAGGAGCCACTGCAGCTTCATCTGAAGAGGCAACCTTGTACAAATACCAGCAAATAGCTTGGGTGAAAGGTCACAGTTAAATATGTCACTCTACAGTGCAGATATGTCTAGATAGGAAGACTCCCTTTCTATCCAATACAAAGACATTGTCACTTTTTGGGTGTGATTCAGCTCATTCTTAAGTAGATATCTGAAATCATCTTCTCTTAACAGTGTTCTTACTGTATTTACTAAAATTTCTTATTTCAATATTATTTCATGAATTCCAATATTCCAATTAGATTGGATATAAGGAAGAAGTTCTTTACTGTATGGGTGGTGAGGCACTGGAATGTGTTGCCCAGGGAAGTCATGAATGCTCCATCCCTGGCAGTGCTCAAGGCCAGGTTGGACAGAGACTTGGGTGACATGGTTTAGTGGGAGGTGTTGGAACTAGATGATCTTGAGGTCCTTTCCAATCCTATCTAGTCCATGATTCTATGAATATACACTGTACATTGCAAAGAGTGCCATTCCTTCTGCTTATCTCTGCCTTCACGCATATGTGTTTTGGGAATAATTGTAGATGCTGGGGGGGGGACTAGTTTTCTAATGAAGCTTTGACCTGGGAAGATATAATTTGGGTTTTCGTGCTATAAGCACAACATATTCCTTTCTGTTTTCTGAAATGCTTTCTTCGGACAACAGAGGTAAAACAATATTATGAATCAGGGTATAAATAGGCAGAAAATTAAGAGATTCATTAACTGAAATATTTATTGTAGAACTTATCTTTCACACAATCTGAATTGATGCTCCTATTTAAAAAAATATAAACACAATGAAAGAGAAAGATGTAATTTGAAGATATCTGGTGGAAACTTGAAATCTACATATGAAGAACATTTTTTTCAATTGGGAGGGGGGAAACAGCTGTTTTCTGCTGAAATGTAAACATTGTGAAACTGCCTAAATCAGGAAATGTAAAAATGGTGAGGAAAAAAAAAGGAAGGTAACTGGTATCACTGAAATGCTTTAGAAAATGCAGAATGATATGTACTAGGTGGGCTAGCAAAGAGTTTGGAGCAAGCCCAACCTTGACAACCATTATGAGGATATCAGTTAGAGATGAGTTTGTCCTGTTTCCCAAAGAACTAGGTCCCAAGGGAGTTACAAAGAATATATGTCAAGTGATTCAAGGCAGCTGTCCTATCTGATTGACCTCACATGTTTGCTAGCAAGGAAAGCTGGCTGTCAGGAAGCCAAGGGAGGTGTGTTCCTTGGGGATGGATATTCATGCATCAGATGCCTGCCATTTTCTGGTGGATCACGGATAGAAAAATCCCTGCAGATGTCCACAGCTCTGTTCTGTGGATTCCTAGCATACAGTTCCAGGATTAGCACTGATCGTATTTTGTGAACTCCAGATTTGTTTATTTTCTGTATTGTGAGTTTGGATACTTTTTCAACATCAAAACAATTATGATGCATTGATGTTCATGAGGACTTAATCCAGTAGTAATAACTGTAACCCAGGAATAGCTGTTTAGTCTGGCACTTGGCACATATCCGTGAGCACCAGAGATTTCAAAGTGGGTTGAGATATCTTCACTGAGCTGTCTGTGTATTCTGGGTTATCTTAGTTAAGACTTCTTTAGCATCTGCAAAATGAGGGGTGAAGGTTTTAAATTAAAAGAGAGGAGATTCAGACTGGACATGGGGAAGAAATGTTTCACAGTGAGGGTGATAAAATCCTGGCACAGGTTGCCCAGATATGTGGTGACTGCCCCATCCCTGGAGACACTCAAGGCCAGGTTGGATGTGGTTCCTGGCAACCTGGTCTAGTTGAAGATGTCTGTGCTCATTGAAAGGGGGTTGGACCAGATAACCTTTGAAGGGCCTTTCCAATCCAAAATATTCTATGATTCTATGATTGTATAATACTTTAGCATAACTTCCTCCTTTCTATTTATGCATTTCAAGCCATCTTTTGATTTTTTTTGTGAAATAGATTCACTTGGTTCTGTGTCAGAGGTTGTGATTTGAAGTGAATATCCCTAATATTTGTGAAACCAGGCCCAAAGACATTGTGGACAGACTTTTCTCTCTACTTTTAGACAGTGACAGAAGAACTGCCTTTGAGCACTCACATCATGAGTGCATGCACATTTTACTGTTAAAACAACTCTCTTCAGTAGAAAGGAACTCATACCTTGATCTCAGACAAAAAACATTTACAATGACCCTTTGACAGAACAATTTCCATTGAACATCCCACTGGGAGCACTTGTAGAAGAGTGATGGTGGCTCTGTGAGGGGCAATTGGTGAGCTGGGTGAGTATTGCATAGGTGGGGGAGGTTGGGGGGGCCAGCATTTCAGGGAATTGCTCAAGGCATTGGTGTGGGGAAGAGGGGATGACACTGAACAGAGACAGAAGGCAGGGCTGGGACAACTGGGAGCAGTAAGCTGTCACCACCAGAGAGCTGAGGAGCACCCATCTGTTCTGGAAAGCATGAGTGGAAGTTCAGGATTTACAGGGGCAGGCTATAAGGCACCACTGAAGCAGTGGGGTCTGGTGGAGTGGGAATTGGTCTGGGGCAGGATGGACTTTGTGGAGAAGCTGGATGCCATCTCAGTGCAGCTGGACTGCTGGGGGCCTCCAGTCTTGGCCAGATTGTTGTCAGGTAAAGTGAGGTGGTGAAGGCCGTGTTTCAAGACAGAGCAGCAGCACTTGAGCCTAGGGCACACAGGGGAGGAGGGCAGCCCCAAGGCTGGGTTAGCAGTGATGTGTGGACCAGATTGATACATCTTTGTTCAGGCACTGTGAGTAACATATTCAGATAAAGTGGGAGACCTGCTGAGGGGTCCCCTGATGCTGTTGGTCCATTTCCCTGAACAGGTCAGCTGAATCTCTGACCCAGCAGGACTGTTCAGTGAAGGGTCCCTATAATGGGATGCTGATAGACTGGTCATACACAAGGGTCTTGGCTTTCCTGGAGCATTGATAGAAAAATCAAACACTAAGGGTTGAGAAAATCTCCCCCCCTTTTCATGTGACAAGGCACCTTTGCCGTGCAGAATCCCAGGAGTCTGGGTGTCTCCTCTGCACAGCCCGCAATGACCAGAAAGAAACCCAGGGAAGGCAAGGCATGGAAAGGTCCTGCAGTGGATCATCACCCAGCTCCTTTTCTTGACAGAACACATCAGAAGGGCTGCTGGATGAAAACTTGTATTCCTTCCTTTATTTTCCTGTAACCACACTCCAGTCTTCTGCTCTGATCAGCCCCCCAGGAGGGCCACTTAGACTTCTTGCAACATCTCCACCTCTAATAGCCTCAGCAGGCCCAATTAGAACTTCAGGAAACTTTACTCCTGTAACCCTCACACATGTAATTTTTACCCAAGGGGTCCACAGAACAAGTAAATTGTAACATGGTTTTCCTTGCTGCTTATTCTGTGCACAGTCATTTGGGTGGCTAATAGGAGAAATAGTCATTGCGAAAGAATTTTGCTAGACTTCACGTTTTTAATGAGCATATTCTTGTTTCAGGCCTAGTGGAGTAAATGAATATACTCCAAATGAACTCAGTAAACATAATTTTTCAATAGGGGCAGATGCTGTCAAAAAAAACCCAACGATTTTATCCTTGTGGAAAGCATCTCATGGACTATGTGTCTTCGGCTGTTTCAGGCAAATCTGTCTGTGATAAAATAGTCCCTTTCACCCTTTTCAGAAACTGCACTGCATAGCAAATCCAGTGACAGCTCCAGTTACTTCTGGAGCTGTTTTTGTAAAATTACCTGCATATGCAGATGTGAGGCAAAATACATAGGGGTAACAAAAATCATGATGTACATCAAACTATTAAAAAAAAAAAAAGGCACCCAAACTAAACCCAAATAACACTTTTTAACATTATGAAGGTGGGTTTTCAAGCTCTTTCTCTTGACTATAAGATACACCAACACAACCAACCCTGGACACATTCCTAGAGAGAGGCATATGATGAAGAGACAAACAAACCACTACATGAGCACCGTAAGATAAGATCAAAGGTGGCAGTTAGTGATGGCACATGTCCAAGAATTAAACAGACAAATACTAGTTAGGACAAATTAACCTCATGTAAAAAGATATTTGATAGTTAGAGAAGCAGGCAAATAAGTATTTGTG